GTTACACTTGAAATTACCTGTGGTCTTCTGCTGGTTTTACCACATTTAAGGCAGATCTCTTTCCGTTCTCTTAAGTTTCATTATTCAGTGGCGGTGGCAGAGGCTTTCCCTTCTAATGTTTGCTCAGCCTTCTATTCTTTCCTGATTCAGGCTCTGGACTTGTTCTACTTTGAAACAAGACTGTGGATGGGAAGCCTTGCTGTTTCTTGTAGTTTTGAAAGTTGAATAAGTAGAGAATGGGGAGCTAGGATTCAGAAGCTACTTGAAAATTGCAATGTTTACTGATTGTGGCATGTGTTTCCTGAGACCCACTCCCCACCACCACTCTATATGACAGTGCAATGGGTACATGTGTGTACCCCGAGTCCAAGATATAGTAGCAGTAATGAGGAGAACAGAGAAGAATAGAATGAGATAAGATAGACAAAATTTTTTTAATTGAAAAAAAAATACAGAACAATGAAAGCAGAAGCCAAAGCCTCAAAGAAAAAGAAAAAAAAGAAAGAAAGAACACACACAGAGAGAGACACACAGACACACACAAACTAAAACAAACTTAAATAACAGCAAGGTGAAACAAAACAAAAAACAACAACAAAAGACCAGGATACCTAAACACACACACACACCTAGCACAAAATGAATAGAGAAGAAAAAGAGAAAGACAGGATAAAAAAAAAGGAAAAAAGAAGAATTCAGATTGAACACTCACACATATTCACACCCACCTTAAACTATAAAATGAGAGAAGAGCAAAAACAAACCAACAAAAAAGACAAAAATAAAGTAAACTGAAAAATGAACATTCAGTCATTCACATACACATATAAATAGAAAACAAAAAACAAAAAAAGAAAGAAAAAGAAAAGAAAAAGAATAAGATGCAGATCAAACCCTCACATACACATTCATGCACAAAAGAAAAATATTTTAAAAAATAGAAAAACTAACAAACAGGCAAAAATGCTACCCATGGAAAGAGGGCTGGATTAAAAAAAAACATGGCATATATACATGATGGAATATTATGCAGTCATAAAGAAGGACAAATATATGGATTTTCAGCCACTTGGATGGATTTGGAGTTGATCATACTCAGTGATTTATCACAAAAACAAAGAATAGTGTTCCAGCCAGGCTCGGTGGCTCAGCCTGTAATCCCGTGCTTTGGGAGGCTGAGGTGAGTGGATTGCCTGCACCTGCGGGTTCGAGACCCATCTGGGCAATTTGGCGAGACCTCATCTCTACAATAAATCAGAAATTAGCCGGGCGTGGTAGCGCGCGCCTGTAGTTCCAGCTACTTGGTAGGCTGAGGCGGAAGGATCGCCGGAGCCCAGCAGGTCGAGACTGTGGTGGCCAGAAGCGTGCCACCGCACTCCAGTCTGGGTGACAGAGTAAGACTCCAACTAAAAACAAAAAAAGAACCACTGATTAAATTCGATTAGTTATCCAGAGTTTGAATTCTCTATTAAACCATGGATGAGTGTGTTATTTCAGCTTGATGTGACTATTTCCTTCATAATAAACCCACTATTTCCCAAAGCAATCAACCCAATAGTGGGCAGCTCTATCAGAATTATGACTTATTCTTAGTTTAAATATTTTCCATTTTCTACCCCATGACTCTAGTTCTAATCACATGGGATGTTTACAAAGACTAGAAAGTACATGTTGAAGTGCTCATGGATGAAATGTTATATCATCCAAGTTTGGCTTCAAAATAATTGAAGTAGAAAGCAAGGAATTCTAGACAAACTAAGATCGGCCGAGTATTGATCATGGTGTATCTCAATGATGGTTTCGTGGAGATCTTTTATATTGGTCTTTCTATTTTTTTTGTTTGTTTGAGATTTTTCATAATAAAAATTTTTCAAACCACTCTGATACCTTTCACACAGACAATGCCAGTTATCGTGTCTACTTGGATGTTTTGCACATCAAGGATAAATACTCCCTGTTCCTCCAAGAGACTGGAATGGCTGTCTATGCGCTGAACATCAGGTGGTCAACCTAAAGAGTGCTCCAATTGGTCAATGTCCCTCTGGGGTTGCCTAAACCTAGCACAGTACCCTACATAAGGTCTGGCTATTTTTTATGAAGATGTTAGGTTGAGTTACTTCTCATCTGCTTCTGTCTTTCATAAACCAAAGTAATCAATGATAATTATGAATTAAGACAGCAAAGGAGGGCTCAGTTACCACGTTCTTTGGTTTCTAAAAATGGCAGAGCCAATCCCACCCCACCCCTCCTGACAGTTTCCCACTACTGCCAATTGCTTTCTTATAGCATTATAATTGTTCAAGTTCAGTTTATGAGTGAGAACATATGGAACTCAGTTCTTTGTTTCTGTGATAAATGACTGAGTATGATTGACTCCAAATCCATACAAGTTGCTGTAAAATCCATATATTTGTCCTTATTTATGGCTGCATAATATTCCATGGTGTATATGTACCACATTTGTTTTTTATCCAGTCCAGCTTCGATGGACAACATGGTTGGCTCCAAGTTTTTCCTACTGTGAATAGAGCTGCAACAAACATACGTGTGCCAGTTCTTTTTTGTAGAATAATTTGAGTTTCTTCGGGTATATTCTAACCCTGGAATGTACCCCACATCTTTATAATAAAAATTTTTTAAAAAAGAAAGTATGAAACAAAGAAACAAACAAAAAAAGAAAGAAAGAAACCAAGTAATGGTCATAAGACACATGGTCATTATTAATCAATAATGGGAAAAAGATAAGAAATGGTATGATTTATTATAAATACTGGATGAAAACTCTGCTTAAATGAGCAGGTTTTTGGTGGATACACAGGCTGTTCCTTGATCCTATGGTATCAAAATAAAACTCCTTACTTCTCCCAAAAATAAAATAAATAAATAAATAAAAAATGGCAGAGCCAGGTTAACTGTCTTTCCTTTTTTTTTTAATCGGGGTCTCACTCTGTCACCAGGCTGAAGTACAGTGGCATGATCATGGCTAGCTGCAGCCTGTCTCCTGAATTCAGGTGGTCCTTCCACCTCAGCCTCCAAAGTAGCTGGGTTCACAGGCACGTGCCACTATGCCTGGCTAATTTTTTTTATTTTTTATAGTGGCAGGGTCTGGCTATGTTGCCCAGGCTGGTCTCAAACTCCTGTGCTCAAATAATCCTCCTGCCTCAGTCTTTCAAATTGCTGGGATTTCAGGTGTAAGCCACCACACTCAGCCCATGTTAACCGTATTTTCTAAACAAAGTAGGTGGGTAAAAAGCCATATATGACTTTGATTACCATCCTCTGAATAGGCTTAAAAATGTATCACTTTTTTGTCATTCTTTTCTAAAAAGCAAAGGAAGAAGGAAAAGCTTTTCGGTGGTGGTATCATAGGATGCCATGACTCGAAATAGACATTTAAAACTATTTTAATAAATTCTTATTTTTAAATCAGAACTGATTCTAGAGATTTCTTCTTTCTGTTTTCCTTCATTCTCTTCTGCGCCACCTCATTCCATAGAAGATTTGAAGTGACAAAAGACAGAAGAGTGAAACATACATTAATTTTGGTCTCCCTTTGCTCAAGACTGAATCTCTAAGACCAGAAAAAAATAGCTGCTTGATTCTATAATTTTAAATGAGCTGCATAGACCTCCATACCAGCCACAATATCTCTTCTACCTTTTTATCAAGATCCCAAGTCTTCTACCATGGAAGATGATTTCCTTTTGTCTGACGTCTTTTTGGCCTTCAAGCCTTGGTGTGATTTGATGGAAGAGCGCAGCTTGGATGCAGGGACTCCCAGCCCAGCTGTTTCTGACCAGCTGGGTGACCTGAGCAAGTCACGTGTCTCCTCTCACCCGAAGGGACAAACCTAGCAGGGTGTCTCAACTCGTGTGCTGTTGGCACCTGGGACAGGAACATCCTTTGTGGAGCTGTCCTTACTTGTGGAATGTCTAGCATACTTAGTGTGCTCCCATAAACATCAGTAGTCATCGCAACAATCAAAAGCTTCACACGTTTCTAAATTCCTCTTTGGGAGAGACACTGCTCACCGGAAGTTCCCATTTACTTCTAAAGTCCTGTCATTCTGCTGTTCTGACCAGTCTTTACTTAGTAAGGCTTGGGTGCTAGCTAGCTAAAGGTCAGGTGGGTAGAGACGAGATGCCAAGAGAAGACAGAGGTCCCCAAGGGAAATGCTATGCAGATTAACACCCACTTGGCCAGGGGCTCCCCCAGCATCTTCCTCCATCTTTCTTTACTATTTTCCACCCTTGAGGGAGAGCAAATATCATGTCTTAGTCAGCTCAGGCTGCTATGATAAGTACCATAGAATGGGCGGCTTATAAACAACAGAAATGTATTCCCTATAGTTCTGGAGCTGGGAAGTTCACGATCAAGGTGCTGGGAGAGTCTGTCTGGTTAGGGCCCCCTTCCTGGTTCGTAGATAGGATAGAAAGGGACACGTGTGCTCTTTGGAGTCATTTTTAAAAGGGCACTAACCCTGCTTATGAGAGGTCCACCCTTATAACCTAATCATCTCCAGAAGACCCTACCTCCTAATAGCATTCAGCATATGGATTTGGGGGGACAAAGACATTCAGTCCATAGCATGCCCCCAAGGCTGCGCCAAATTCTTAACACTCAGAAGGATAACCTGATGGACTAAGTGCAATGAAATAATTAGGATTTTAGCAGTCACCTCTCCTGGTCACATTTGTCATTCAAAAGGGATCCCAAGGAGAATTATGCTTATGCTAAATAAAATTTTTAAATGAGGAGAAAGCCGAAACACAGACAACAGTACATGAGGAAAAACTTTCAGGATGGGCACCCAACAAGCCCCTCTTAAATCACACTGTCTGATAAAGGGAAGTCCTGTCTATGAATTCTTCAAATGTCTCTCCTCTTGTTCCTTATGGACGTACAATGACTATTCATTAAATTAATGAACCTTGTTAGGTTGTTTGCTTCTGTTTGTCTTGCTGAGACTACTATCCTGACCTACTGGCTGTCCTCTGTCATTTTCTAGGACTGTGGATGGCGTGACATTTAGGAGTTCCATTAAGGAGAAAACCGTGGGCCGAGCTCTCTACTCCCAGGCGAGGGCGAAGGGCAAGACCGCTGGGCTGGTGAGGTAAGACTTGAGTGAGTGGGGTTGGCCCTTAGATCTTGATAGAGGCTGTCTATTCCATCCCCCTTCCCCCAGCAGCAAGTCAGCCTCCAGAAAGGCACAGAGCCTAAGCAAATGGCAACTCTCATAGAGCATCTCAGGGACTTGGGCGTCCTCGGCTTTCAACATTCTGAGTGTGTCCTAGAGCCAATTCCCAGAGGATACAGAGCACTGACCATAATAAAATTCAACCAGGCAGAGAAAGAAGAGAATCCAAGCAGAGGGAACAACCCTAGCATTGCTCCAGGTGACCCAGTCTTTTCTTATCACAATGTCTATTTCCCCAGTGGCCTCTCCTCATCCAGTAGGATTTGGGTGATCTCACTCAGGTGTGCAAACATCCCTTGCCTTATAGGTAGATGAATATTCTATAAACAGGCACTGATTTTTCTAAAGAGTGCAGAGAGGAACTACAGAAATATTGGTGATCTTGCTACAAAACAACACACATACAGAAGGAAAGGTTTGGAATGTGTTTTTATGATTTTTATTATGCCTTATTTTTACAAGATAGGATCTCTGAAAGCATCAGTTACTTAGCTTAGATTTCGTTTATTTTTTTTCCTTTATAATCTTAAGTAAGACACTGGGAATGTCAAATCACCCTCAAAAAAGTAGCCTATCGAGAAAGAAACTTCAAAAGAATTTTTCACCTATCACTTGTCATGCTGCACGCCCAATCCTCTTCCAAATCCCATCATGGTTTTTTTTTGTCTTCATCTCCTCCTCCTCTTCATAGGAGGAGGATGCTTCAGACGATTCAGTCTTTTTTTATCTTTATGAATCATTTTGCCATCTTTTGACCTCATCATCCATTCATTGATTTATTCATTCCACAAATATTTCTTTCTTTTTTTGTTTGTTTGGGGTTTTTTTTGTTTTGTTTTTGTTTTGAGTTGGAGTCTCACTCTGTCGCCCAGACTGGAGTGCAGTGGCCGCTCCCGGCCACCGCAGCCTCGACCTGCTGGGCTCCGGCGATCCTTCCACCTCAGCCTTCCAAGTAGCCGGAACTACAGGTGCGCGCTACCACGCCCGGCTCATTTTGATTTATTGTAGAGATGAGGTCTCGCCAAGTTGCCCAGGTGGGTCTCGAACCCCGGGGTTCAGGCAATCCACTCACCTCAGCCTCCCAAGGTGTGGGATTATAGGCTGAGCCACCGAGCCCAGCTAAATATGTATTTCTAACAGAAACTCTCCTAAGCCCTGGAGATAGCACAGAAAACAGAGTCCTCATTTCAGTGTTCTCCTCGGGAAAACATGGCCTCTCACTGCAGACTTGGCCTTGAAGCTCTGCACAAGGTCACAGGCATCTTGTTCTTCAACTGTTCAGTATCCCAAGCTGACTGTCCCCAGTAACTCCCAATCCCATGTGGGCAGATACGCACCATCTCACCTTGCTGATTTAGTTATCTCATTTTTTTTTTTTTGAGTTGGAGTCTCATTCTGTTGCCCAGGCTGGAGTGCAGTGGCATGCTCATGGTCACCCCAGTGTTGACCTACTGGGCTCCGCTGATCCTTCCAAGTAGCCAGAACTACAGGTGTGCACTGCCACACCTGGCTAATTTTTTCGGTTTATTGTAGAGATGAGGTCTTGCCAAGTTGCCCAGGCTGATCTCTAACCCCTGCGCTCAGGCAGTCTCCTTGTCTCTGCCTCCCAAAGTGCTGGGATGACAGGCTTGAGCCACTGCTCCCGGCCTAGTTACCTCATTTTTAAAAATCATTCATTGTTTATACTAATGTTGGAATCACCTGCATTTGCTAGTCCTGCTGCTTTGCTCTTTAAAACCATAATCACCTCAAAATCAAGAATCACCTTGGACTAAATAAGGCCTTAGGCTAGAAAAGCATGTCCTATTTGGTGAAATAATAGAATTTTTCTTTCTGGAGACCTTTATAAAGATAAAGCATTCCTAGAGCAAGTCTCAAACGCAATATAGGATATGTGTACTGTCTCTAGAAACATCCAATCTTGAGTGTGAGATTGTACAATTGACATGCTGTGGGATCTCAAGCAGGTTATTTATTCTGTATAAGCCTTATTTATTTATTTATTTTTTTTGAGGCAGGGTCTCGCTCTGTCACCCAGGCTGGGGTGAAGTGGCATGATCACGACTCACTGCAACCTCAACCTCCTGGGCTCCAGTGACCTTTCTACCTTAGCTTCTCAAGGAGCTGGGGCTATAGGCACATGTCACTATGCTCGGCTAATTTAAAAAGTTTTTTTGTAGAGATGAGGCCTCCCTATGTTGCCCAGGCTGGTTTTTTTTGAGTTGGAGTCTCACTCTGTCACCTAGACTACAGTGCAGTGGCCGCTCCCAGCCACTGTAGCCTCGACCTGCTGGGCTCCAGCGATCCTTCCACTTCAGCCTTCCAAGTAGCTGGAACTACAGGTAGCATGCTACCACGCCCGGCTAATTTTTGATTTATTGTAGAGATGAGGTCTCAGTAAGTTGCCCAGGCGGGTTTTGAACCCGTGGGCTCAGGCAATCCACTCACCTCAGCCTCCCAAAGCGCTGGGATTACAGGCTGAGCCACTGAGTCCAACTTTTTTTTTTTTAAGGACATTTTTTATCATTTTTATGTGTAGAACACTCAGCAGTGTACATTTAGCCCAGCTTAGTGGCAAGTTCTTTCGCCTTTGCCTTCTCCAGCTTTGGCGATGCAAGCCACAGATTTTGGACCCAGGATGTTGCCTACCCAGTGACAGCGGACCTCATCCTATGTGATGCTGTAATTGGTCCTGATGGCTTCCACCAACTCAGCCAAAGATCTTTTGTCTTCCAAGTTAAGCTGCGTGAAGGCGACAGTGGTGCAGGTCTTCCTGTGGACCAGACGCCCCAGTCTTGCTTTCCCCTTGATAATGCTGTAAGGGACCCCCATTTAATGACACAGGGCAGGCAGGAAGACTACCTGCTCCATGGGATTCACGTCATGGGCGATCACCACCACTTGAGCCTTCTTGTTTTCCACCAAGGTGGTGGCAGTGCTGACCCCTGCCTGAAGGACAGGCGGTCTCTTGCTGGGGACGTCCCCTTTGCCAGCAGCTTCCTTCTCAGTCCAGGCCAGCAGTCTCTGCTTCTTCTCTTGTGGGCCAGTTTAAGCAGCTGAGTGGTTGTCTGGCGGTCTGAGGCCTGGGTGAACTGGTTAATGGCAGGAGGCACTTTCAGTTGCTTATAGAGGATGGCTCTTTGCCGCTGCAACCGGATGTACTGAGGCCATTTGACAAAGTGGGTGAGATCCCTTTTGGGCTGGATGTCCTGTTCGATGCCAAGGTTCTTGGATCTTTTCTCAGACAGAGGGTTCACCACCTTCTTGGCCTCCTGCTTCTTCCTGACCGCAGGGGCCGGGGCTGCTTTCTTCCCTTTGGCTTTCTTTCCTTTCGGCATCGTGGGCGGCTGAAGGGGACCAGGATGGTCTTGAACCCCTGGGCTCAAGCAGTTCTCCCGCCTCAGCCTCCCAAAGTGCTGGGATTACAGACATGAGCCACTGCACCCAGCCTCATCTGTTATCATCAGAAAAGTCAGGATAATGACAATATCCATTTTTACAATATCAGTGATGACACACGTCAAATTCCTGGCCCAGAATAAGGACCAGCCACTGGTGGCTTTTTGCAGATAACACTTGAGTCAGTAAGAAGCTCTGAAAGCAGACGATCAGGTGGGAGAGGAGACTGCAGCTCTTGACGGGATTGGGTTGACCCGGAAGTTGTACTTACCTCTGTTGTACTCATAAACAACTGAGCAGGGCATACTGCCCAGGAAATCTCTACACCCTCTGCCTGCACTCGGGGTTCTGCCGTGCCGTCATGTCTGAGTTGATGTGTGGGGTTCTCACCCTTAGGAGCAGGTCTCTGGACATGGAGAACTTCAAAACCGAAGTAAACGTGCCTGCTGGAGCCAAGGTGCAATTTGAACTTCAGTACCAGGAGGTGAAGTGGAGGAAGCTGGGGTCCTATGAACACAGGCTCTATCTGCAGCCCGGACGACTGGCCAAACACTTGGAGGTGAGCGTAGACTTCAGGGCGGATGGCGACACCAGCCTCGTAGGGTGCCTGTCCCCGATTTGTCCTTTGTCGCCACTATTGGGTGCCACTCAACTCTGCAAGATGGTGAAAAGATGGCGGTCTTGGAGTCCACCATACCACTTCCTTATAGATTCACCCCCCACCTCGTCTCCCTTGTAGCTGTATTCCAGGAGTTTTTTCTGGGACTTTTCCCCCTTTTCTCCACCAGCCACTCCACCATCCTCAGCGATGGCTGGTCAGACTCTCCCAAGACATCTGGTCTACCTTGCACTGTGCAGCCTTAGTGCTCACCAACACGGAGTAGAGGGAACTGGAATCTTGCTTGGAGGCAAATTAGGTTCACATCTTATGCTGGAATTTGAGGTAACCAAAATGTTGGCTCCACCCAGACCAGTGTCTGTGACTTTGGGAAAGCAGATTTATTTTTACATTCTTTTAGAGAGTGGTAGGCATGACTCCACAGGCAAGGGGGCCCAAGGAATAGTTCTCACTTTAAGTGGGAGCTAAATAATGTGGCCACATGGACACAGAGTGTGGAATGATGGACACGGGGGATGTGGATGGGGATGGGAGAGGGACGGGGGATAGGAAATGACCTGGGGGTACATGATTTTGGTGATGGATGCCCTTGAAGCATAGAAACAAAGTACACTTTGTGGTGTTTACGGATTTTAAAAATAAATAATAAAATTAAATTGACAAAAAATAAATGGCAGCTAAGATATGGTTGGTCAGGAACCACCCAAAGGCATTTCTCCCTGTTTAGCTCTGTTCAAAGCGAGAAAACAGAAAAGGAATAAAATGGGTCCAGACAGGGAAGTGGTCCGTGTTTGACATCTCTCCAGAGTGAACGTGGTGCAGTCAACAAGGACTTTCCTTCTTTTCCTTTCCACTGCCGGGAATGCTCCTGTTATTATAAGAATAGAATGAAGGAGGGAAATTAACTTCCAGGGGAGAGAGGCAACAGAAAGGGAGGACTGAGGTGACAGAAGGGGGTTGAGCCTCCTTGATGGTGAGAAGAAGCACAGCTCAGGGAACTTAACAGGTCACAGATCCGTGCTGGGAAAACCTGAAGATGGAAAAAACATCAGAGAATTTACTGGGAATTTTACTTCTTGCCTAAAAAGTCCTTAACGACTTTGAACACTTTGGGTCATTATCTCTCCCATCTCTAGGTAGACGTGTGGATTATTGAACCTCAGGGAATGAGATTTCTTCATGTTCCCGACACATTTGATGGCCACTTTGATGGTGTTCCAGTCATTTCCAAAGGACAACAAAAGGTACCTGGCATTGCATGTTGCCAGCATCTACATGGCTGCTGGCTCATGGGTTCTGATCTCCTCCTGTGCTCTGGGGAGTGGAAACATGGTCTGGTGTGGACCTGAGACACTGTCTGAAGAAGAGGGATCCCTGAGCGAGTCCAGTGTCTTCCCAGGACGCACAAAACAACACTCCCAGTTGTTTCATTCCATCCCAGCCAGAGACAGAGGCTTTTGAACCATCATTGTCCCTGTCATCCCTTGACTAGTATCGAAAAGGCATCTTTCTTGGACTATGTGATCGACTTTCATTAATCACAGCAAGAAATACTCAGCTTACTCTCTCTGCCTTAATGTCCAGTGGTAACCAACTGTGATTCCTCTAAGGTCAAACTCCTCTAGAACATTCCACAAACTCTTTCCAGAGGTGGTAATTTTCCCTTCCATGGAAGGTGGGGGGAATTCTTTCACTCTTTTAAAAAGGTTGGAAGGCCGGGCACAGTGACTCATGCCTGTAATCCCAGCATTTTGGGAGGCCAAGCAGGAGAATGGCTTTAGCCCAGGAATTCAAGACCAGCCTGGGCAACATACGGAAGACCATGTCTCTAAAAAAAAAAAAACCCAAATTTAACCAGGCATGATGGCACATGCCTGCAACCTTAGCTATTCAGGAGGCTGAGGTGGAAGGATCACCCGAGCCCTGGAGGTCGAGACTGTGGTAAACCATGATCCGAGCCACTGTACTCCATCCAGCTTGGGCAACAGAGGGAGACTGACTCAAAAAAATAAGCTAAACTAAAAATAAATAAAATAAAAAGGTCAGAAACCTAGCACACAGCACCAAAGGCTGGCAGAGACTTCCCCAGAAGCCCTGGCCCTGTCCGTTCCATCAGCTACAGGTTCAATGAGGCTGCTCAGATGCAGCATGGCCACGGGGCAACTCATCCTCCCTGCGAGCCTGGGAAGGGGCAGCCGTCAAGTCCAGGCCTGGAGGGTGCTGGGGGCAGGGGTGCTGACCTCACTGTTCCTTCTAGGCCCACGTCTCCTTCAAGCCCACAGTAGCTCAGCAAAGAATTTGTCCCAGCTGCCTAGAGACGGCGGTCGACGGGGAGCTGGTGGTGATGTATGATGTGAACAGAGAAGAGAAGGTCGGCGAACTTGAGGTGAGTGCAGACAGGCTCTAGACAGGCCCAGAGGACGCCAATGCTGACACTCCTTGTGGTGCAAACTCCCTGGCCTGTGGGTAGTTTCTAGCTGCCTGGGCAAGTGTGTCTAGCTGTAGAGAAGGGACTAAGACCCTATTCCTCCTACACACTGGTAAGTGTTATCTTTTGTGTCATAAAAATAAACAAAAGGTCACTGGGTCTCGTTCCCTTGTCCCAGCAGGGCACTTCCAGACCTTATATAAAGAACAATAGAAGATTTATTGTAGAGATGAGGTCTTGCCAAGTTGCCCAGGTTGGTCCTGAACCCCTGGGCTCAGACAATCTTCTCACCTTTGTTTCCCCAAGTGCCGGGATGACAAGCATGAGCCATTGGGCATGGTGGTGCATGTTTGTGGTTCCAGCTATTTGGAAGGCTGAGGCAGAAGGATGGCCTGAGCCCAGAAGGTCAAGGCTGCGGTGGCTGTGAGAGTGCCACTGCACTCCAGCCTGGGTGACAGAGTGAGACTCTTACTCAAAAAAAAGGAACAATCGAAGATTACAAAACAGGCTGGGCACAGTGGCTCAAGCCGGTAATCGCAACACTTTGGGAGGCTGAGACGGGAGGATTGCTTGAGTCCAGGAGTTAGAGACCAGCCTGGGCAACATAACGAGTCCTTGTCTCTAAAAAAATTAAAAAATTAGTCGGGTGTGGTGGTGCACATCTGTGGTCCCAGCTACTCAGGAGAGTGAGACAGAAGGATCACCTAAGCCCAGGATGTCCAGGCTGCGGTAGCCATGACTGTGCCACTTCAGCCTGGATGACGGAGTGAGATCCTGACTCAAAAAAAAAAAAAAAAGAAAAGAAAGAAAATTACAAAACAGTAATTTTGGATGGTCACTCAAAGCCCTTTGCAATTAGACGATCCAAGTAAGAGCAGAGATTTCGGGGAGAGAAAGAAGGCACAACCAGGTTGGGACGTGGCTCATGCCTATAATCCCAGCACTTTGGGAGGCAGAGATGAGAGGATTACCTGATCCCACGGGTTTGAAACCAGCCTAGGCAACATGATGAGACCTTGTCTCCACGATAAAAAAAAAAAAAAATTAGCTCAGCGTGGTGGCGCGTGCCTGTAGTTCTAGCTACTTGGAAGACTGAGGTGGAAGGATCGCCTGAGCCCAGCAGGTCAAGGCTGCGGTGGCTGGGAACATGCCACTGCACTTCAACCTGGGCAACGGAGTGAGACTCCAACTCAAAAATAAAAAAGGAAGACACAACCAATGCACAAGGAAAGATCCAGAGCCAGTGGTGATGCCAGCGTCGATGCCTCTTGTGAGACTTCCTGAAAACTGTCCTTTCCCTTGTATCATGTCTTAGATGGGCATCCCCATGTCCTTGTGCTAAGGTGAGAACCCTTAGGACGTATCCAAAAGCCTGAGTCTCCCCAGGGACAGGGGTGGAGGAGTGCCTTGAAGGCACAGTCACACCCCCTGCACTTGGACACTGTGGTGTCCCGATCCGGGTGACCAGAGACAGAGGCGAGCCCGTTGCCAGAGCCCACAGCAGAAGACAAAGAGGGTGGCCAGGGGTCTAGCAGCGGTGGCCTCTCGTGAACTTCAAGAAAAATCCAAATATTCCAAAGTGGCACATAAAGGTCCTACTGATGTTCCACCTAGTTTCTGGAATTCTTGAACTCTGGCCCCATCTTATAAACCGTGGAAAAAGCCCCAGGCTGCCCTGTCCTCTCTCTCCCACTGGCTTTGTTGGGAACTCTCCTCCCCGCCCCCACCACCCCCATCCTGGCCCAGCTCCCACGAGGGCAGGCACAGTCCAAGCTCAGCCCAGTCCCAGGGGAGATGCTGTTTTGGGGGAAGCATTCCCTGTGTGTGTGTGAATGCACCTCCCCTGGATTTTCACAGGCCTTTTCTTCCCTGATCGCATCGCTTAGCACACTTGGTTCCACTATCTGTATCTGCTGCTGACTGTAGCCTCCTGAGGGCAGGGACTCTGATTCTCCATCAGTTCGCATGGTGCCGAGAACAGGGGCTCTCCATAAAGACAGGGTGATGGGAAGGGAGGCGGTGTGGATTGGAGGAGAGGGGAATGGAGTGGACTGGATGGAATTCTCTGCTAGGATCGCGTGACTTGTCACAGGAGAGACAGGCAGGGAGCAGGCAGGAGAAGTGGGGAGATGTGTCCACCAAGCTTCCCCTTTCTCCCCGTTAGCCCCCAGGCCCTCTCTCCCTCTCTTCTAAACATGAGTTGTGATTTGATTCTCAAACACGTTCTGTGTTTCAGGTGTTTAACGGGTATTTCGTCCACTTCTTTGCTCCTGACAACCTGGACCCAATTCCCAAAAACATCCTCTTTGTCATTGATGTGAGTGGCTCCATGTGGGGAATTAAAATGAAACAAGTAAGTACTCCCTGTTGGCAGTGGCATGGGGGGCTTTCTAGCTTCTTTGATTCCCTCCCCCAGAATGCAATCCTCTCATCCCACCTACTGGTTAGGGCTCACATTCAGGGCTGCAGCACAATTGCTGTTTTGGGTGGGACCATCCCCTGTTACGGGAGAGTCTTGTGCGTTGCAGGATGTTAGCAGCATCTAGTTTAGCCTGTCCATCGATTTCAGTCGCACAGTCTCCTCCCATGTCATGACGTGATGACCAAAAATGACTTCAAGGCCAGGCATGGTGGCTCACACTTGTAATCCTAGCATTTTAGGAGGCTGAAGCAAGAGGATTGCTTGAGTCCAGGAGTTTGAGACCAGTCTGGACAACACGGTGAGACCTCATCTCTCCAAAAAATAAAACATTTAGCCAGGTATGGTGGCACATGGCTGGTGTCCCCGCTACTCAGGAGGCTGAGGCAGGAGGATTGCCTGAGCCCAAGAGGTCGAGGCTGTGGTGAACCATGATCATACTACTGCACTCCAGACTGGGTGACAGAGTAAGACTCCACAAAAAAAAATAAAATAAAATAAAGACTTCAGACATTGCCAAATGTCCACTAGGGAGTCATTGACCCTGGTTGAGGAGCACTGCTCTAAAACAAGTTTATTCACTGCTTCCTTCCTTCCATTATTCATTCATTCTACAGGTATTTCTGAAGCACCTACTATGTGTCAGGCATGTAGTTCATCCGTGAGCAAAATAGACCAAAAGCATAAAACAGAAACCAAACAAACAAAAACCCTATCCCTGTCCCCATGGTGTCTGTGACGCCTAAATTCTGGGGAACGAGAATCAACAATACACATAATAAATAAATGGCGGTGTTATGTTTTTTAAGGGCACATTAGAAATCAGTTGAGCCAATTACAGGGAAATGGAACTTCAAATAGGTGTGGCATCTACATAAGTGGCTTCTTGGAGAAGACTTTTGAGGAGACCCTTGAAGGTGAGGGGACAGTCATGCAGATACCTGGGAGGAGGCCGCTGCAGGCAGCTGGAACAGTCAGTGCAATGGTTCTCAGTCAGAAATGTGCAAAAAACAAAAAGGAGGACAGAGAGGGATGGTGGGAGAAGAAATCTAAGAAATAAGAGGCAGGGAGGCTCGTGCAACACCTGTGAGGTCATTGTCAGAACTTTGGGCCAGGCGCGGTGGCTCATGTCTGTAATCCCAGAACTTTGGGAGGCCAAAGAAAGAGGACCACTTGAGGCCAGGAGTTCGAGATCAGTCTGGGCAACATAGCAAGACCTCATCTCTACAAAAAAAAATTTTTTTTAATTAGCTGGACGTGGGAGCATGCAACTGTACCAGTTACTCAGGAGACGGAGATAGGAGGATCACTTGAGCCCAGGAGTTCGAGCCTGCAGTGAGCTATGACAGCATCACTGCACTCCAGTTCGAGCGACAGAGTGAGACCCCTGACTCAAAAAAAAAAAAAAAAAAGAGAGATGAACTTGAGAAATATATTTGATTTTCAGGCACCACTAAGTGGGCACCCAAAGTTTGTGATCCTTAACTTAGACTAGGCAGATTGATTGTGCATCACAAAGTAAGATGGTAAACATTTCAACATCAAAAAGCCAACAATGTGTGTTCAAAATAGACTGTGTTGACTGAGGTGGGCTCACAAGGTCTCACAAGGTTTTCTGGAAAAACTTTAGCTTGAGTCAGTAGTTAAAAGATGATGCGGATCAATGATTGGTCTTTCTAGTTGCTTCTTAAACTTAGATTTTCTTTTCTTTTCTTTTTTTTTTTTTTGAGTCAAAGTCTCACTCTGTCACACAGGCTGGAGTGCGGTAGCCACCACAGCTTCAACTTGCTGTGCTCAGGGGATCCTTCTGCCTCAGCCTTCCAAGTAGCTGGAACTATAGTTGCATCCCATCACACCAGATAATTTTTTGATTTACTGTAGAGATGAGGTCTCACCAAATTATCCAGACTGGTCTTGAACCCCTGGACTCAGGCAATCCTCTCGCCTTCATGTCCCAAAGTGCTGGGATTACAGGCATGAGACACCATACCCGGCTAGATTTTCTGTAATGAGACCCTTTTATTCTCTTTTGAAATAGACCGTGGAAGCAATGAAGACCATCTTGGATGACCTAAGAGCGGAAGACCAATTCTCTGTAATTGACTTCAACCAGAATGTCAGAACCTGGAGAAATGACTTAGTTTCAGCTACTAAAACACAGGTTGCAGATGCCAAGAGGTATATTGAGAGAATCCAGCCCAGTGGAGGTGAGTGGGTGTGGCCTGAAGCCCAGAGGAACTTTCTTAAGGTTCGAATCTTGGTTCACTTAGGAAGCATTATCCCGTCACAGTGGTCTTTGCCAGTCTGTGGTGGCCTGCCTTAAACACTACACTTACTGGTCCATGTCGAGTACTAAGGTATGGTGAAAGCACAGTTCATAATTCAGCAGACACAAGTTTTTAACCATTTCAGCCTTTCTAAGAAAAGGGCCCTGTAAGTGTCACTCGCCTGCTTTATCACTTGTAAGGCGTTAGACGCTGCAGTCTTCAGAGCAAGGCTGATTTAGTTACCTTAACTTGGTGTTAAACAAAATAGCAGATTGGTACTTTGAGAGGGCTCATTCGTCTCTAAGAAGGCAGCTTACTTCATTTTTTCTTTTTTTTTTTTGAGTCAGGTTCTTACTCTTTCAGCCAAGCTGGAGGGCAGTGGCATAGTCACAGTTCACAATAGCCTTGACCTCCTGGGCTCAGGGGATCCTTCCGCCTCAGCCTCTTGAGTAGCTGGGACTATAGGCACATACCACCACACCTGACTTATTCTTTGTAGAGACAAAGTCCCGTTATGTTGCTTGGACTGGGCTCTAGCGATCCCCCTGCATTGGCCTCCCTAAGTGCTAGGATTATAGGCCTAAGGCACCCCGTCCAGATGGGATAGTTCACTTTAAGGTGAATATTGCACTGCTGTATGGATCGCCAGCCTGAGTATAATCTGTGTCACTCTGAAAGCAATCAGGTGTTTTTTGTATAGAATAAATTATGCATAAGGAATCACCAGACAGGCACATGTGAGTCCAGGATGTGCTTTTCCGTGTGTGGCACACTGTGTTATTCCCATAGGCACAAACATCAATGAAGCTCTCCTGCGGGCGATCTTTATTTTGAGTGAAGCCAATAACTTGGGCATGTTGGACCCCAACTCGGTCTCGCTGATCATTCTGGTTTCGGATGGAGATCCGACCGTTGGCAAGTATTGCCCCCGCCTTCTCAGGACAAACGTTTTCACTGTTGCTTCTTGGAACGATGGTTTGCTTCAAATGGAGCTTGAGCGGTGTTCGCCGGTGTTCCTAAAACATTTTGAATTCCATGCTCCCCAAAGGAGCTCTTCCGACCCTGAAACCCTCGCCGCTTTCGACTAGTGCTCACCTTCAGTGGTTCTCTGGAATACCTCCGTCTCCCCACGGCCACTGTCCGGGGCAATTTGAGTTTGAATTGCAACAGTGTGTTGTGAGGTTTGATGTATGTGAGTGGAAGGCACTTATTCCTCAGCTTAACGTGTGTGGAGGCGGTGTGCGCGGACTGTGGGTGATGGGGCTTGGTTGCAGGTCTCCCAGCAGGACACCATGACACCCTCATAGCGGCCACACCCCCTTGTCACAGCTAGAGAGATGGCTGCTCTCTGCTACATCCTTAGGCCCCTCCTTTTGCTTTCTTTCTTTCTCCCTTTTTTTGTTCGAGTCAGAGTCTCACTCTGTCATCCAGGCTGGAGTACAGTGGCTCGCTCCGGGCCACCACAGCCTCGACCTGCTGGGCTCCGGCGATCCTTCCGCCTCAGCCTTCCAAGGAGCTGGAACCACAGGCAGGCACCACCACGCCCAGCTAATTTTTTGATTTAGCGTAGAGATGAGGTCTCACCATGTTGTCCAGGACCCTCGCTTTTCTTCTTGGCAAAATGGTTTCAACATCTTCCTACTTTTTTTTTTTTTTTTTTGAGTTGGAGTCTCGCTTTGTCGCCCAGACTGGAGTGCAGTGGCCGCTCCTGGTCACCGCAGCCTTGACCCGCTGGGCTCCGGTGATTCTTCTGCCTCAGCCTGTAGCCGGAATTACAGGCCTGAGCTACCACGCCTGGCTGATTTTTTGATTCATTGTAGAGATGAGGTCTCGCTGCCCAGGCGGGTCTCGAGCCCGTGGGTTCAGGCAATCCACTCACCTCAGCCTCCCAAAGGCGCGGAATGACAGGCTGAGCCACCGAGCCCGGCTCATCTTCCTACTTCTACCATCCACTTTTATTTTTGTGTTACTTGTGTCTTGACACTGATGGAGTATAAGTAAGGGTGAATGCTCAGGTGTGTCGCCTGAGCGTGTTGTCACGTAGACAAGGACCGAGTCTAATCCATCCCCACACAGGTGAATTGAATGAAAATGTACCCACCGATAGGAACAATAGCAACCCAAGTTCCAGAAAGCCAAAGAACAACCGTTTATTAACAGTGAGATGGGCCATTGAGTTGTGTGTTTGCTGTAGATTCAATGCTTTTCCTCTTGGATCGGATTACTTTTACAATTCAAGTTTGGAATACAGTCCCAAAGAAGAAAAGAAAATATAATAGCAAATTAAATCTGTCTCTCCCATTTCTGGACCACCTAGTTCTTGTCTCTGGAATGAATCACTGGTTACCAATTTCTTTCCATAGATGCCAGTACACAGCATATACATCTTTGCACACACATATATGTTACACACGTGCATACATTTATGCATGCATGCATACAAATCCATTCTACATACATAGATGTCTGCCCTGGCTTTTTCTCCTCCAAAAATTTCTTAGAGATTGTTCCATATAAATACACAAGGAGTTTCTGTGTCCTTTTAAATGACTGCATAGTATTTCACTGTTTAAGCGTACCAGAATTTAATTAAGCTCCCTCACTGGTGTGCATTTAAGTTGCTGCCAATACATTGCTGTTCCCAAATAATGCTGCTACGTATCATGGCCCATGCCCCATTTTGACATGTGTGAGTGTATCTGTAAGAAAAAATTCCTAAAAGTTGACTAACTGCGTCAATAGGCAAACACATTTTTAATTTTGACACATTTTGCTAAACTGCCCTCCCTGGATTTTCCAAAAACTTTATAACATTGTTTCTTCATTCCTTTCCTTTCCGTCATCACCAACCTCAGGTGAACTCAAATTGTCAAAAATCCAGAAAAACGTGAAGCAGAACATCCAAGACAGCGTCTCTTTGTTCAGTCTGGGGATGGGATTCGACGTTGACTATGATTTTTTGAAGAGACTCTCCAACGAAAATCGTGGAATTGCCCAGAGGATCTATGGAAACCAGGACACGTCTTCCCAGCTCAAGGTAACACTGTCTTCTGCTATTTATTTCGCTTGAAACTACCCAACTGGGCCAGGCACGGTGGCTCACGCCTATAATCCCAACACTTTGGGAGGCCGAGGTGAGAGGATTACCTGAGCCCACGAGTTCGAGACCAGCCTGGTAAGACCTCATCTCTACAATAAGTCAAAAAATTAGCCGGGCATGGTGGTGTATGCCTATAGTTCCAGCTACTTGGAAGGTTGAGGCGGAAGGATCACCTGAGCCCAGCAGGTCGGTGCTGGGGTGACTATGAGTGTGCCACTGCATTCCAGCCTGGGCGACAGAGTGAGACTTCAACCTACGCAACTACTCATGTCTGATGCCTCAGAGAAGATAACTGAACTTAACTCAAAACTGTCCTTATGTCAGCCATATTTGATTGCAGGAATCAGGGAACTGTGAAATTCCTTCCTCACACATTCCCCTCCACACACAGGGAGTCATGAGGCAGCCAAGTGACAGGGATGCATGTCCCTATCCCCCGAACAAAGCAGCTCTGAAGCACCATTGAAATTTCTTGCCGTACCTGGTCCCACTGAACAGCTGGTCTCCTTACCCATCATGGCCGCTTTCCCTTTGAAGTATATTGACATCTGGGATATCAATTTTTTACGATGTCAAACAGATCAAACTACAGCCTGTATGTTTTCTTTTCTTTTCTTTTTTCTTTTTTTTTTAGGAAGCAGGATTTATTGAGAGGACAGGAAATCTCCCACAGTGGGAGGGGACCCAAAGGGGCTGCCCTGGCCTATATGTTTGCTTAAATATAATTACTTGTTTATTTGGACTAAATGGACAAGAAAACAATGTAGGAAAAGAGCATACCCTGCCTTTTGTTAGTGTCAGGCACCATATTTAAACTTGGGAACAGATAAGGGATAAGGCTCTAATTCGGGGACTGTCATGCCCAGATGACTTTCATTATTATGAATATCCATGAGTTTTCTCATGGATCATAACAGAAAAAAAGAAAATGCTGGCCTCTTAAGTCAGTGGTGGTGCTCTTAACGAGTCTGTATCTTCTCTCTGTCTCAGTTTTTAAATTTGATAATTATGAGCATTTTTCCTCGTCCCAGAGGTCCCATGAGAATAAACTGAGAAGTTTCTGCTGGGCACTTGAAGACTCTCGAAGAAAAATGCTTTAGATCTACAAAATGGTATGAAAATAATGATTTCTCTGTTTTTGTTTTTTTACGAATTGTAGAAATTTTACAACCAGGTGTCAACTCCACTGCTCCGGAATGTTCAGTTCAACTATCCCCACCCGTCGGTCACGGATGTCACTCAGAACAGTTTCCATAACTATTTTGGAGGTTCGGAGATTGTCGTGGCAGGAAAATTTGATCCCAATAAATTGGAACAAATACAGAGCATCATCACAGCAACCTCGGTACTTCTGCTTCTCTGGTCATTCTGTCTGCTACCAGGACCCCTAGTGGTGTCCATCGTGCATGTTCACTCTGCCTTTCCAAAATCATGCGTTAAAAGCAAGGCGTGAGAGAGAAGGTGTGAGACCCTCTCTGCCGTCTTCCAGCCAGTCTGTCAATCCTGGTCTTTTCTCCGAGTCCAGTCCCAGCCGAGGGCATGCACTTCCTTCCTCAGCAGAAACTGTCTTCCATTTTTATGTATTACCACTCATTCACAGCAGGAACTAAAAATGTGAATGGATTAACTAGAACTCGGTTCCCTGATGTCTCTCAACTTCCATCATCCAGGCTAACACGGAGTTGGTCTTGGAAACCTTGGCCCAGATGGATGACTTGGAGGATTTTCTGTCAAAAGACAAGCATGCAGATCCGGATTTCACCAGGAAGCTGTGGGCCTATCTGACAATCAACCAACTGCTCGCTGAGCGGTAAGAAGAGAAGTGCATACACACCACAGGAGCTTGCAGAAGTCAAATGTCAACCTTGACTATTTAAAGTCACACACAAAAAAGAGTTTGGAACTAAGAATGGCAGCAAATTAATACGGGTTTGGATTTATTTTTTATTATTTGAGTCGGGGTCTCACTCTGTTGTCCAGGTTGGAGTGCAGTGGCACAATCATGGCTCACTTCAGCCTTGACCTCCTGGACTCAGTAGATCCTCCTGCCTCAGCCTCCTGAGTAGCTGGGACAACAGGTGCATGCCACCACACCTGGCTAATTTTTTTTATTTTTATAAGAGACAAGGTTTTGCTATGTTACCCAGGCTGGTCTCAAACTCTTGGGCTCAAGCAACCCTTCCACCTTGGCCTCCTAAGGTGCTGGGATTGCAGGCGTGAGCCACCGTGCCTGGCCAGGTTTGGATTACTAACTTCTGTTGGTTCTAAACACTTTAGCTAAAGCAGGTTCACACGTTTTTCTTTTTTATTGAGGTATAACATATTGTAAAGTGGATGAAGTGTGTTAAGCTTAAGTATCCACTTTAATGAATTTATACACACACATATAAAACCCATGTAAGCACCTCCCAGATCCAGATATAAAACCACTGAGGGCTCCCTCATTGTCCTTGCATGCTGTTACAGCCTGACCAGGTTTTTACATCCATTACATAGAAAAGCTGAGACCAAGATGGAAATTATTACAGCAGAGATAATGTTTAACATTGCAAAGCAGCTAAGCAAGAAGGATGGGAAATATTTTTCAAATCTGCCTCCTATTTTTAATTTTTTTTTGTTAATATCTATTTTTTGAGTCGGGATCTCACTCTGTCGCCCAGTCTGAGTGCAGTGGCATGATCACGGCTCACCACAGCCTCCAATTCCTGGACTCAGACAATCCTTCCACCTTGGCCTCTCAAGTAGCTGGAACTACAGGCACGTGCCACCATGCATGGCTAACTTTTTTAATTTCTGAAGACATGAGGTCTTGCTACATGATCCAGGCTGGTCTCGAACTCCTGGGCTCAAGTGATCCTCCCACCTCTGCCTCCCAAAGTGCTGGGATTACAGGCGTGAGCCACCATGCCCAGCTCCCTGAGGATTTTAGGCCAGGGTTTTTTAAGGAATAATGTAACAGGCAGGGGCCTAGGGAACGGGTGCTGCTGATTGGTTGGGGCTGGAGTCATGGGGGTGTCCAAACTGTCTTCTGGGTCATGAGTCCATGAGAGTGCAAGGTCTGAAAACCATCTCTAACATCCGTTTTAGGTTTTACACTAGCGAGACTGTCTTCAGAGCAGGGCTACTGACCCCTGGGCAGTAAGTCACTGCAGAGACATCTAAGTGGGAAGGTGTGCAGAGGTGGGACCCACGAGATCAAAGCTACTCACCCTCTCTGGCCAAACTTCGGGACACCATCCAAGAGATCGTCCAACCTTAGACTCATTGTTTCCTGTTTTTTTTTGAGTTGGAGTCTCACTCCATGGCCCAGGCTGGAGTGCAGCGGCATGCTCACAGACACCCCAGAGTCAACCTGCTGGGCTCCGGCGATCCTGCCGCCTCAGCCTCCCGAGTAGCTGGAACTACAGGCGCGCGCTACCACGCCTGGCTCATTTTTTGATTTATTGTAGAGATGAGGGCTTGCCAAATTGCCCGGTCTGGTCTCGAACCCGCCGGCTCAGGCAATCCACTCGCCTCGGCCTCCCAAAGTGCTGGATGACAGGCTGAGTCACCGAGCTGGTCAGACTCATTGTGAAAATGTTTATCAGCACCACGGGTGGCTTCCCCCCCACCCCCACCTCCCCCAGAGATCAGGACATGAAGATAGAGAAGTGAAAACAAACTCAGAGACAACAGATGTGCTCATTTCAAAGCATAGCTGCAATTTTGTAAGGCTTGGGCCTTTCCCATGGCTTTTATTCCGTGGCCCTGTATTAATTTAAGATGGGCCGTTTCACCACCTCTGCTAGAAACCACAGTTTCAGTGTCATCATCAATTAGTTTTGCCTGGTAAATTTCTCAAAATTCTGCACCCTATGTCTTTCTGTTTCTAGCTTCTTTCACTCAGTACGATGTCTGCAAGTTGCATTCGTGTGTCAGGTGTTTAGCATTTACTCTTGATACAGGTTCTTGCTAGGCATGGTGGCTCACGCCTATAATCCCAGCACTTTGAGAGGCTGAGGCGAGAGGATTACCTGAGCTCAGGGCAACTGAGCTCAGGTAATCCTGAGACCAGCCTGGGCAACTTGGTGAGACCTCCTGTCTACAATAAATTGAAAAATTAGCTGGGTGTGGTGGTGCACACCTGTGGTTCCAGCTATTTGGAAGGCTGAAGTGGAAGGATTGCCTGAGCCCAGCAGGTTGAGGCTGCAGTGGCCATGAGCGTGCTGCTGAACTCCTGCCTGAGCAACAGAGTGAGACTCCAACTCAAAAAAAAAAAGAAAAGAAAATAGAAGAAAAAAGAAAACAGGTTCTTGTCCAAAGAGAAATCCATGATTGTGCAATTACAGTGTCCCCTAAGAAAGGGCTCCCAGTGCTCCTCCCTGTTCCCTCTGGCTTTTCAGCCGAGCTGCATGTCAACTCTACGGTGTGAAAACTGGATTGCTAGAGTCATCTGTGGGTCTTGGACCACCTGCACCAGAATTACATGAAGATGCTTGATAAAAGTCATCAGTTCCAGGCCCCATCTCACCTGTTAGACCAGATTCTCTGGGAATGGAACAGCAAAATCTAAACTAGGTTGGGAAAATGAAGCACAGTTGTATCACCAGACTCTCAGAGAAAATCCCTGATGTTGGTAAGATTAAAAACTACACAAGACTGTAAGCTATGGCTTTGAAATAGGCAAGAAATAGCCCTCCCTCTTTGACAGAAGCATATCAGATGCATTTAAAGGCATAAAGCATATTGCTACAGAAGTTAAACGACTGATTATTACTTTTTTTACTACACCCAGGCTGGAGTGCAGTGGCATGATCGTGGCTCACAGCAGTCTTGACTTCCTGGGCTCAGGCAATCCTCCCACCTCAGCCTCCCAAGTTGCTGGGACTATAGGTACATACCACCACCCCAGCTAATTTTTTATTTTTATTTTTTTGTAGAGATGAGGTCTCACTCTGTTGCCTAGACTTAAACTGGTCTCAAACTCCTAGGCTCAAGCAATCTTCCTGCCTCGGCTTACCAAAGTGTTGGGATTACAGGCATGAACCACACCGTACCTGGTTTGATTTTCAAAAAATAATCCCTATAAAAAAGATCAGTGGAGGCCAGGTGCAGTGGCTTACACCTGTAATTCCAGCACTATGGGAGGTCGATGCCTGAGGATTACCTGAGCCCAGGGGTTTGAGACCAGCCTTGGAGAGAAAACTTGGCGAGATCTCGTCTCTACAATAAATTTTAAAAAATTAGCTGGGCATGGTGGTGCACGCCTGTGGTTCCAGCTACTTGGAAGGCTGAGGACCTGAGCCCAGCAGGTCGAGGCTGTAGTGGCCGTGAGCATGCCACTGCACGCCAGCCTGGGCGACAGAAGGAGACTCCTACTCAAAAAAAAAAATCAGTGGTTTCCAGGGATTGAGGGGAAGAGAGTGGGTGAGTGAGTGGAGCACAGAGCATTTTTAGGGCAGTGAAACTATTCTGTAAGATACTATCATGGTGGACATTTGTCATGATGCATTTGTCCAGACCTGTAGAATGTCCACCTCTAAGAGTGAGTCCTCATGTGACCTGTGAGCTCCAGGTGATAATGATGTGTCAGTGTAGGGTCGTCAACTGTAACACATGCACCCTCTGATGGGGATGTTGATTGTGGGGGTGCCTGTAGGGGTGGGGGGAAGGGCGAATGGGAAATCTCAGTGCCTTCTGCTCAATTTTACTGTGAACCTGAAACTGTTCAAAAAATTAAGTTTAGAAAAAAAAAATCCCGGCCAGGTACAGTGGCGCATGCCTGTAATCCCAACACTTTGGGAGGCCGAGGCAACTGACCCAGGAGTTCTAGACCAGCCTGGGCAACTTGGCAAGACTTCATCTCTACAATAAATAAATAAAAAAAATCAGTCGGGCACGGTGGCATGCACTTGTAGTCCCAGCTACTTAGGAGGCTGCGGTGGAAGGATCGCCTGAGCCCCCCAGGTCAAGGCTGCGGTGAACATGTGTGTGCCATCGCCCTCCAGCCTGGGCGACAGCGTGAGACTTGACACACAAAAAAGTCCCCTGGGCCTTCATAGCTAGATACACGACTAAGTTTCTTGAAGCCAGGTAGCTGCTCCCCCCAGATCTTGTACACTACTACCCCCTTCCCCCAGCCCAGCCTGGACAGCAGGCGTGGCAGAGGGCGGGGTGGCAGGCTTGAGCTGGCCCTTTGGCGCAGGGAGGTTCCGCGACACGCCTGTCTCTTGAGTGCAGAAGCCTGGCTCCCACAGCGGCCGCCAAGAGGAGGATCACAAGGACCATCCTGCAGATGTCTCTGGAGCATCACATCGTGACACCGCTCACCTCCATGGTGATCCAGAACGAGGCCGGCGACGAGCGCATGCTGGCCGACGCCCCGCCACAGGACCACGGCTGCTGCTCAGGTCGGGGCTCGCTCTGCCCGCGGGAGTCCCAGCGCCTCG